AAGAAACGTGAGGCAAACTAAACTCCTCACACGCGGAATGATGTCCGCTTACGAGGATTTCACTCGAACCACAAACATGTTTTTTCTTACCACCATTTCCTGTAGTCCACCTCCGACACTCCCCTTCCACAAGCCGCAACGTTACAGCTATGCTGCGCTACCCATCTTGCAACAGCGAGCTCACCAGCTCTCACGCAGACCTAAACATCATACATCGCCACAATTTGTCGAATTTCCATCAAGTCGAAAACACTTACATTCACAACTTCACAGTGGACCACCGTCAAGTAGGCCGGCAGCTGCTGAGCATATCGCTCCATCAGACTCCGCAAATATGCCGGCACGAGATCTCCTCTCGGGCTACTCACTGAGTGCTCCACAATCGCTCCCACAACGCGCCTAAATGGCACAACGGTACAATTCTCGACTATCACGCAGTCCACCCAGGTTCGATCCCCGCCACCCCCTACCTTATCTCCCCCGCAACCCTATCCATAAGCTTCACATCTGCTCCCAGCATCAGCCACTCTTCGCCCACAGCATACCACTCTCCCGCCCTACCCTTCCTACCAACAAACCACCCCGGTTCAATCCCTGCGCAGTGCATTTCTCCCCACCTGCTACTATCCAACAACATCGCCATCCCCATCGTCAGTCGAGAATCCCCTACCACACCCCGAGCCGCCTCCAACAGCTCTTCGAATGTGCCCGGGAACTGCCGCGAAAAGTATTCAAAAACAACTTCCTATAATAAGGGTCGACAAACTCCATGGATTTCATAGCAGATTATTTATAAAATTCTTCCAAGTCGGTGATTTGGTGAGATCGTTGAGAAACTGTTGGTGACACCAACAATTTCTCACCGATAAAGCACTTCAGAATTCATCTCAGCCCAGTTGTCGCCTCCAAATTCCTCCCCCCGTTTACCCAACCACAAATATGCACATGCTCAACTACATGTGTCGGTGACAATATGGAAATTTCGACGAAGTTTCGGGTAATTTCCACTGGTTTTTGGACATATCTACCCGAACTCCTTCATAATTAGCAAGGAAACTCCCAAGCTCAGCTGAGGAAAGGCAACATATATTCCTTCAGCGTCACCCCCCCCCCACACTTACTCCTGCAACAACACCCCTCAGCCCTTCTCCCGCCGTGCCACCATCGTCGTCCTCTCCACGAGTGAGCATCTCCTCATTGGCCTGCCGGAGCCTCTCTTCCACAAGGTGATGTCCGCTGTGATCGCCATCCGTTATCAATCTAGCTATGACAACGCATGTGTATGCGTGCATACCAACAGTTTAGTTTCGCATCGGCAAGACCCCAGGTTCGATTCCCAGCAGCCACAATTCGAAACACAATCATCATAAGTAGCTTATGATAGTATTAATGGCAACCCATACGAGCCATCTCCAAGTCGATCACAATACGTTAAAAATCTGTCCGCAGAATAATGGACGAAATGTGATACGAAATCTTCCTGTAATGTAACATGAGCATCGACTCCTCATCGCAACACCCGGGTTCGATCCCGGCACTCGACATTTTTATAATAATACTAATTCATATATTCACAATTCTATCGTCTCCCTTGTAGATCCCCGTCCTCCTCCTTGGTCCATCCCAGAGGGCGGCGGCGCCGATGAGTTCTGCTGATCCCGGAAGACTCCCCCCAGACCAACGCTTAAGCTCGATGGTGTATCATCATCAACCACCAACAGGTCCGTATCTGCACGCATGCGCATCTCCAAATATCCAAGGTTCAAACTAGGCCCACCCGAAATCGACCCAAACCTTCCCATAGATGTTCCGAAATCAACAGCCTTTGGAATGCACGACATAAGCGACGATGATGCCTGAGCCACCGAGTCCTCCGGAATTCCCTGAGGAAATGCAAGATTGAGCAAGATTGCAAGTGTCAACACCAACATCCAGCCCTCCTAGACTCGTCATCAAACTCCCTCCACCATAACGCTGGCTCGGTGTAGCACTATATGAGCTGAGTAACACCGCCTCGTTAGCCTGGGAGTTACTGTCGTCGACTTCCTACGGAAACACGCAGGTTCGATACCCACTGGCGATAAAATCTCTCGAAAAAATCCCGGAATTTTTTCGCACGCGATAAAACGCTCATGGCGATATTCAAACCCTCCACTGGCTTCAGAAATCCCCTATTCCGGAAGTTCCAAACGGACTCCTCAGAATTTCTCCTCCAAAACGTTCGTAATTCACCATCGGCGATTATAAACTGCTGTCATCCACCTTCCACCAAAACAATACACCCCAAATTATAACCCCTCCAAAACTCATACCACTCCTCTCCCAACTTCTCACCTCATCCCACAATGGCTGTCCCCGCTGTAAGATCCTCCCAACCATCACATCATATGCTGAGGACAGGTTTGAATTCTTCACCAGCGCATCGACCCCAGGGGTCCCCTCCCCGACGGCTTCCTCTACTGAGAACCCTTCAGTGGCATCTACCACCACCCTCTCGGACGAGGCAGCCATGTCGAGCATCTACAACCAGCGTTGAGGAAATGCAAGATTGCAAGATAACACTTGGAATGAGAAAATATCCACATAATCAACTAAATGTGTTGGTGAGAAATTACAAGGAAATTTTGGGAAATTCTCATCAGTTTTTGTACCCGAATTCGTATGTAGACTTCTATATCTAGTGAGGAAGCTCCTGAACTCAGCAGCTGAGGAAAGTCAACGTATATTCCTCCGACACTAGTGAGCATATTCTCAATGAGTATATTCAAAAATCACTCGGAAAATTCAAATGATACCAAATTCGATTAAAAATGCAAAACTCTCGAAAATTGTTTCTACTCGGAAACTCCACACAAATGACTCTACCGTAAACTGAGCAAAAAATTCTCTCGAAAATTTCTCCTCCAAAAAGCGCCCACCAGGGATCGAACCCGGGACCTCACCTCTCGAACAGCCTTCGCCCTAGGATGTTCTATCATCAACCTCATCAGCTCCTCATCATCGACCATATCCCCTTCGGCCAATAGCCCTTCCTCATGAAGCTGTGCCAAAACCTCGGGGCCCAACCCGACACCAACCGTTTCAGCCGGCGTCTTTCCATGCTGAGATTTTTCCACGCGAAAAATTCCTCCAAAAGTAAATTTTGCATCCTTTCCTACAACATCCCTAGCATGTACATCAGCACCATGTCTCAAGAGGATCTCAACCACATCAATCGCCGCGACCTCAGCAGCCGCGTGCAGGGGCGTTCGACCATCCACAGGATTCACCTGAAATCGTCACGCGCCACGAAATTCCACCATCACCACCACGACCAGCAGCAGCAGCATAGACACGCAATTTGACCTCGTTTATGCATGCACTATATGACAACAACAAAGCGACAGTATCCTCCTGCCCCGTCAAAGCTGCCACAAACAAGGGCGTCCACCCCTTATCACCACCATCATCAGGATGGGCGCCATACCTACCATAACGCCATACCTTCACAACGACATGCCAATACGCGCAAAGTTAACATGAAAATGTGCAAAAAAAATGTTATTTTTTTATGAAGGTTAATTATATGATCTCAGATAACCGCACCACTACGCTCAAAATGTACTCTATCTATTTCACATTTTTCGAATTAGTCAAAATATTCGCGAAAACTTTTT